AAATATGGAAAACTCTCATTTCTAAATGTTTTGGAAAAAAAATTGGGAAGTGCATGTGGGAAGACATGTACAAATATGGGTGTTCTTCCAGAGCCAGCAGAAGAAATCGGTAGCAGTGTATCACCAGCTTGTGTGAACACAGTTGGGAGAGTGCTGGCTGTCAGGGTGAGTGGGTGCCATGTAAGTCTGAGGGAGGAGAGGGCCTTCAGGCTTCCCTCCGAAGGCTAGGCACAGAAGAATGAAGGAGCACACTGAAGAGGCACACCAGCACTCTACAGCTTTGTGCCCATCACTGCTGGACAACAACTAGGATATCCAGAACTGGGTTGGAATATTTTTCAGATATTAATATAAAGAGCTAGGATTATTTTTTTCAATCTTTTGCTGTTTAAAAGTTCTTCTCTCTGCCGGGTATCCCTCAATTTGATTATTAAATTCAGTAGTACTGCTGTGTAATGTTTTAAATCTTTTCTTTCTAGGTTCCTCCAGAATTTGACTTCTCCCCTCATAAATACTTTCCAGTTGTGAAGCTTGTTTGAAAGACAAGGGATTATTGTTAGGATGCCTGAAACATAATCTGTGTGTGCATCAGATACCAGCTGTAGGATGGAATATCTAGTGTTGTACCCCAGACTGAGGGGGATCTCCAGGATAAGAGTACTGTTACATAGGAATATCTAGTGTCTGCCTTCTTCATGTGATCTGAATGACAACTGCTGTTTTAAAGTGGTTTGTACAAAGTTTTATGGATGAAGCTGATTTTAATCAACTGTATTGTTGAAGAATGTTTTACCTTAATTGATTTTATTAAAGATGTAATCATAAACCATTTTTATGAATGAGCTCTGACAGAAAATGGTGGTTTAGGCTTTTAATAACATTTTCGACTGAATAAAAATAATGCAGTAGAGCCTCATGTCTGATAGGCACAGCTGAGCTACTGAAATTCTGCTTTGGACAGAGCCACTTTGGGAGATTGAATTTCCATATTTTTGCCTAAATAGCATCAAATTTGCTCACTTTGTAAGTAGAGAGATGGGGTTCTTTTCTTGCCAAGACCTGCAAGCTAAAACAATCTTTATAGAAATTAAGAGCAGATGAAAACTAGTCATTTAGCTCCTACTGCACTAAATTCAGTGATTTTTTGTTTTATTGAAGTCACTTGTCTAGGAGGTGTTTTGTCTCAAATGCAGGAGAAGTCCCTAAAGACAGTGAGAAATGGAGTAAGTTATTTCTAGTTGCAGTTTGTTCCTTTGCCTTTATTCCTCATGGTACTGGAGAATCTGCATAGCTAGTGCTGAATAGTGACACAGGAACACAAGACGCAAGGAATGTATTTTAACTATTCTGCAACTTTATTTCAATCCTGTTGTTACTTTGCCATTGCAAAGGAGGGATTGCTAATTTCTTCCATTGCTCAGTCAGCTCGTGCATGACCTTCATTCTCTTGCTTTGACTGTAATGCTGCTGCTGGATCCTACTGCCTTCTGTAATGGTTGATTTAGGTAGAAATCCCAAACAGGAGGAGCCCCAAACCTACCCCTTCCTTCTTGGAGCAGTTCTTCATCCTGTGCTTCCAGATATGAAATAATAGAGGTAAGTTCTTGTGCTGACCAACCTTCTGCTACAAGAGGAAAAAAAAAAAGTTAAAAGAGCTGACTTGCTCTTTGATAAACCATACTGCCAAGTCTTACCTGGGCCAGAAAAGCAAATCCTCCAGGTTTGACTGTGTTGGACAGGACAGTTCTTCATTGTGGTGCAAAGTGGCTTCCTCCACAGTGATGAGCTTGTAACTCCCTCTTGACCATGCAAGACATTAGTTTGTGTTTCTCCTAACACACAGTTTTACTGTGGAGTAATACCACTTTTAACTCCATCACCTAAGCAGCAGCACTGCTGAGCCAGAGCTGGAAAACAATGAAGAAACTCTGAAGTGGCACACCCGCTTGCCTGCCAGCAATTTGCACCTTCTTGAAAGAAGCTGGAGTACTGCCCTGAAGACATGCTTTTCCTGATTTCTCTGCTGAGGAGGTTACAGACCATTTTACCTGTTTCCTTATCATCATGATTAATAGACTTGAATGCTTCTCTATCATTGCCAAGTGAATGAAACTCCTGGAAACTGTAGTTGTAAAGATGGCAAACGGGTCCTAGTGCAGAGCACTGAGAATTCATCTGGCTTTTGCTGCCTTCTTATAAACCATCACAAAAATCCTTCCTGTCTTAAAAATCATGAACTACATGACAGCAGCTCAAGGACAGCCTTCAGTATTTCTCCAAAGGAAGCCAAGTTCCACATCATTTATAGAACTAGGAAAACAGGAAAGATCATCTTTCCCATTTTCATTAACATTAACAGAATAAGGTGAATACATAGTAGAGAAGATTATTTTTATTTTAAAATGCTCATCTAAAATGGATCAGGCTTAGTTTTTTTAAAAAAACACATCAAGGACAAGTATTAATTTAACCCCAAGATGATTACAGCAAAGAAGCTTTCCCTGCCTCATGCAACTAAAAATTTTAGTGATACACAACACTATATAAACCACAGTTCTAAGTTAATCTCTTGTTTGGTTCAACTGAAAGTCCTTTAATTTTAAAATTCTATATAGTAGACATACAGGCCCCTTGTTTACTAGAAATCTACCACCCTCATTACATTCCTTTAGCACTTGAAGCCATTGAGAATGACACTGTATTCCTTTATGCTTTGGAACATTGCTTTGCACAGGCTTTCAGCCCGCCCTGCTACTGCCAGAGGTGTAACAAGTGTGCTTTGCACAAAGGTGGTCTTGTTTACAGAGAGAACATCATCTAGCTGGCCAGCGAGAAGCCCGGTCAGGTTTGGGTACTGTACAGAAATGCAGCCAAAACAATTTGTTTTAGAAGAATTCCCTAGCAATATATTAATTACCTTAAGGATTTTGTTTGTTTGTTTGGGATTTTACCAGTTTCAAGTTAAAGTCATTCATTCAACTTGAATATAGTGTTTCACTGTACATTTTGTACTGTTAGAATATATGCTGTTAAACAATCACTATTAAATGCCTGATTAATTGCATCTCAGCTATAAAACTGTTTACAGAGTAAGTCCTAAGAAAATGCCCCTTTTACTCAGAATGTGTAAACATTTTGATAGTAAAACATGCCATTATTTGCAAAACACAACTTAATAGCACAAGTTTCCCAATACTTGTTAGTTAGAAGAGATGCTCGTACCTCCTTTTCTCGCCTGCTTACAAGCATTTGTTTTCCCTGCTATACTGACTGTATTAGCCCAGACCAGTTAAGTCTGACTTAAATGGTGAAAACAAAAGAGTAACCAAGAACTCAGTAATGGAGGTCAGTGCTTTTCTTAGAAGAATTCAAGTGAGACATGGCAAATCTATCCATCAGTGAACTGTTTATGTACGGAGACTTAACAGGCACCATTTGACTTGAGCTCTGCCTTTCACTTGACGACAGCTGATACTCTCTTCATACACAGAAGAACCAACCTTCCACTTGCTTATTTAGGCAACTCAAGGTATAGGAATTGTAAACTAGTACACTGAAGAATGACGCTCCACAGAAGTAGTTACAAAATGAAATGCATTAAGAGAAAGCCAAGACAAACGTGTATTTCTTAAATGGAATTGCTGGTTGGGAAGTCAGTCATGTCTGTCTGCTCCCATGCTGTCTCGACAGCGGTTGGTTTGTACTCACAAAGATGATGATTGTTTCAAACACAGGTGTCGGTCCTGAGAACGGACACAAATACAATCTTCAAAACAGCTGGCAACACACAACGCAGGTTGTATTGCAGTTAAGGGTGCCTTAGTGGTAGCAGGGGGTATTTCTAGGTTATTGCAAGTAAACTAGTTTCTAGTTTACATTCAACAAGTTACAGAAAAGACAAAGACTACAGAACATTAACAACATTATGCATAACATAGGACTTCACAACAACTACAGCTTCCCCGTGGGAGACATTTGAGATGTCTGGTAAATGCATAGTCTGGTTTACCTTCTTCAAAAGTCCGGCAGAGATTTGTCACTTTGAACAGCTGAGATGCTGTTCTACAAGGCAAGCATTTGTTTTTCTACTTTTTAGCAGAAGACAGTGGCTGGGTGGAGTAGAGGGTAGTCATAGCACACCATTTCAGATGGCTTCTGTCATGAGAAGTTCAGGAGTTTGAATTTTTACACTCTGAACTTGTGCAAGTTAGTTTTAACTGAACCATACTGTAGTACTGATCTTGTGAACAGGAGTCCAACAAAGCTTTCAGAAAAATATTCCTGCTTATCTCTTAATGAGAGGACATTACTGTCAGAATCCTTTCCTTTAACCTAAAAGCCAAGAACACAACCAGGACCGTGTTTCAGCCTGGTTACAGTACTGTAAGCTTGCAATTTCATTGAGGAGGCCCAGGAAAATGTATCATGCTGCATAATATCTGAGGACTACGATCACGCTTGCTGACTCTATCGACATTGCAATAAAAAGGTACCAGAACAGGCACCAGGCTAGGCGGCGGCCTAGGATTTTTCATCCTTCCAATGTTTTGTCATGGTGAGTAAGTTAGCTCCTCTTAAGCTCCTCTTAAAACTAGGCTGGGGATTTCTCTACTGCATTGCTCAGGGGAGAGAGTCCTCTGCCAAGGATGGATCTTTCTCATCCAGCACCAATCCACACATATGGTTATTGCAGTATGACCATACAAGTTAGCTGACTTCAGCGTTACTAAACTTACTGCTAACTGGTTTCAAGTTTATAATTGGTAGGAAGGAAAGAGTCATTGCAGAGGTCAAGACTCTTTAAAACAAGTCTCCAGAGATTTAATACTATTTTTTTCACCACTGAAACAATACTAAAACTTCACAAGAAAAATACTACTTCATTTGGGCCCTTATTGAAACCTTGAGAAGATAATCAAAACATTCTCAGATCACTTTGCTCTCATCATTGTTGCATTTATATGAAGAGGTGACTAAGCTGCATCATGAACCTCCTTTGTTCACAACCTCTGTCGTTCTTCACCTTGCTCAGACAAGTGGTTCTTCGTATCTTCAGGGTTTTGAACTAATTAGGAAAAAAGAAAAAGGTACAGAAATCTCCTTAAGAGGCAGAAGTGATAGCTCTTCATCTAGAAAACAATCTAGAACACAGCAGGAGAAATTTTGAAAGGACTGTGAAGTACTGTACAGTAAAGCTACAGATACTGTCCCCACCCCGTCACATGTTAAACAGTACCCTCAGTGATGCTACACAGAAAATAGGTCACGCTGTCACCATGAGGGAAAGCTCAAAGAACAGAAATTAGCTAGCTGTATCTGCTCCAGGATACCATTCAAAATATCATCTTAAAATTTTCAGCATGCAGTACTTAGGTGAAAACTTTTTTTTTTTCTTTTTTTACCATTTTCAATCCCTGCAAGTGCTGCTTGCTTGTCTGTTTCTGATTCAGCTTCATTCTCATCTAAATTGTAATCAACATCCTTGTCCTGGTTCAGTGCTTCATGTTCCTGTTTGTCTGGAAAAATGTTAAAATTAATTAGTTTTATGCTATACCATAAGATCATCTGCACAAGAAAAAGTTACTGTAACAATCTTCCACAGAATTTACTTTGCTGCTGAATGAACTGCTGTTTAGAGTAGGTTTTCATATTATTTTTCCTTCTGAACTGTTAAATTTCGGAGCAGCTTTTGCTGTAAATCTTGTCTAAAGAACTAGATAAAAGATAGAATCTTTTGGGATTTGAAAGTGTAATAAAATTCAGTCAGCACTCAGATGGACAGAAAGGAAAAGCATTACACAATTTCAGACTACATTAAAGGACAGGCTAAGGAAGAGTAGAACCCGAAACCAATGCTGAAAACTGGACTGTGGTGTTGCTCTTAAATGTGTTACCACCACCGCTAAAACATATCTCAGCTTCCCCCCCCCTTCTGGTGTTATTTTGCCCACCAAGCAGAAAGCTGTGAATATAGCATAAAGGAAAAAAAAGAGTATTTTATGATGTGCTAACTCGGCACAAAAGTGCTTTTCCATAAGAGATTTTCTTCACCCAGTCATTAATTCATCTCAAGCAACTTTTATTGACCATCTTAAGATTTCTTTGTATAGACAGCTCAGAAGTAAATGGAAACATTATTTCTGATTGGCAAATTACTACCCTTATTTTTCAGTTAACCAGCCAGAAAAAAAAAACATGGCATAGAGGTATAAGCATACTCCAGTTAAGAGATATCGGAGTCTCTGGTTCTGAACATTCTCAAGCCAAGCCCTCTAACTAGTAACTGGCTTAGAAACAGGCTTGAAAACTTTTAGCCTTATGTTGTCCACGTTCAGACTGCCACATCAAATAGATTCTTACAGTTATAGACCTGAAGGTCTCAAACTTTTAAAAGAAGCTCCTATTGAAAGAGAGAGAATGCTCAGAGAATGCAGCAGAAATCTTTTTCTACCTGAGGTTCCTTCGGCTACAAGGAACGTATGCAGTAAGGTATGGTATTTTTGTTGAACAATCAAGCCTGAAGAACATCCTGCTAGTGCTCACAGAAACTCTGGCCTTTCACAGGCTACATGGCAGAGTTTTTTTCTTCCACTAAGTGCTGGATGATTTTTTTTACCTAATCTTTCTGCTCTTTATTTCTGTTAAAACGGAAGCAGTTTAGGTAACTTATGTGTTCACGTCTCTTTGGGGGACAGCCTGCTCTGGCCAGCATCTTTTTGGAGCAGTTGGAAAAATACTACTTTAGCAATGCAGATAAGATTATTTATCCCTGGCAAGTTATCAACAGTGTTAACATCATTATTCATGATTCTATGAACGTGTTTTCTAGAAAAGCATAAACAGCATTTTTTGTGGGCATCAATTCCTTCTCTGACTGCCACAAGGCTTCCTCTTGATTACTCTGTCTGGGCTACTGGGTCCACCAGAGACCGAGCTCCTCAAGACAGACAAAGGGACATCTAGATTCTAGTCAGGTTCAGGCATAACATGAACATTCTGCTGCTTGGTGCTGTGGAGACACATGGTTCAGGGTCACAGGTGGCAGATGCCACAAACTGGCACCTTTGCAACATCTGATCTGCAATTTTGCAGACTCACAATAACGAACTTTAGATACCTGAAGTCTTAGGTCAAGTTTTATTCATGCTAGCTTATTCTGAAATAGGGATAGCTAGCATTTACATATTGACACTACAAAAAGGAGTATCTGCAAAACGTCAATAGGTAGCACCTCTCTACTCGTCAATGCTTTGGATGGCTAACGTCTCATCCTTTTCAAATGCATCATATTCTTCTAAAGCCTCAATACCAAAAAGTTTCGGGGCTAATTTCCCCAAATGCCTTGTACAGCCAATGGAGAGAGAGCCAGGAAGGCTGCTACGGTGATGCAGACGAACCCAGCCTGGTAGCTCCATGTTGCACAAGCAGAAGCCTCCATCTTCACCCACTGACTGTAGAAGACTGCCGGGGACTGACTAACCTTTTACACCTCTCACTAACCTGTAGGAAACTTTATACCAAGTCTGGCCAGCTGCCACCACTGTTGCCCTATTCCATACTTTCTTCACTGTTCTTAACAAGACGTGACATGCTACCAACCAGCCTTTCCGGGCGGCGAGTCGTCCTGCTTAGCATCGTAATTCAAGAGCTGCTCCCTCTCAATTTCCTCACTGGCAGCTTGCTCCGCTGCCGGCTGTAACGCATCTTGCCCTACTACACGTTTTTCATCTTCGGATGGATTCAGCTCCTTCTCTGACTCAGGCAGCATCTCCTTATGACCTGCAGTGGCCTTGAGTGCATCCTGTGGGTTTTTCAGTTCACTGGAAATCTTCTCTTCTTCTGCCTTAGGCTCCTGTTTTCTGATGTCAGCTAGGTCATTTATTCTTTCTGTAAACAATAAAAATGAGTCTGAGTAAAAAACCTAATGCCTTTCAGTGGTGGCACAAGTTAAAAACCTTTTATAAATACTTCATCATCTTTATTTTTCTCATTCAATTCTTGTTTTTCTTCTGAAAGAATATCTTTCAGCCACATCAGTTCCAAAGAGAAAGACAAAGACAACAACCCATGTTTTTCCTACCGGGAACAGCTAAAGGATGAGACTTGTAGAGTCTACTGTGGCATTGTTTACTGTCAACAGATTCACACTTTTACCTACTAAAATTTGGGCATGTGCAGCTAGTAAATTGGGCACGTGAAACAGCATTTTGAATAAAAATTGCAGTGTGCTGTATAAGTATCAGGTTTCTGTGTAGTAATATTTCATTACTAACAATAAAACTGATTTGGTTTTCAAAAGTAGCTCAGGAGAAAGCAGTCACACGAGGAGATTTGCAAGTAAGTCAAGGCTGTTCTTATTTTTAAAGACAAAGAGGAAGTGCAGGAGGGCTATTACTTTTAGCAGACATTACCGTATCTTTTTTCCTGTGTATCTGTATTTTTAACTAAAAAAGTTACGATAAAATTTGCCTGAATAAACTATATATAGGTGTTGTCTTCAATTGTTAGCTCCCTAAAATGAGAGTTGTACACTCCTAAGATTGTAATTTGAGATAGCATGTAAGAATAATTAAATAGGAAATTGAATTTCTATCACACCCAGTACTATGCGAGACTGACGCGCTAGGATACATCCATTCACATTAATAGTTTCTGAGAGTTTAATGCCAAAAGCAACCATTGGGTTAACTGACCCGATCTCCTGAGTATCATTTCCCTTACTTGCATTTTGCTCAGTGACAATACATGGGAAGCATGGATGGGTCTTTGTTTAAAGCCTAACTTTCATCTGCTCCATAGGGTGGGGTAGCAGGTTAGATGTGTCAAACTTACTAAAAAAGCAAATTTTAAATGTGCTTGAAAATCATTGCTTCCAAAAGCAGGATATTTTCCTCCATATTAAATGAGGAACAGGACTTCAGAATTGTAAATATTTGTATTTTCCTTTACACACAACATGTCAATTACAACAAAACTGAAACAGTAGAAATGCTAGTAATAAAATTGCTTGAATAGATATTATACCTCTCCACAGCTGGAAAACTGATTGTAGTTCAGTGTACTGGTGTTACTTTTTCCATCTTAATCTTGTGTACAAAAATGTTTTTTAAATGTTCAATTAAATTACAAACGTTGTTAATGAGTTGCTAGTTAAGATAGTGATTTCCAGCTCACCTTTAGCCTGCAGCAGGTCTGTCTTTTTTACTGTAGGTACTGCTTTAGGTACATCTTCATTTTGTTTCTGCTGTTCCAAGTCAGCCTGCTTGAACTCAGCTTGCATCGAGGCTGGCAGTTGAATATTAACCTACAAAGTGAATGTACACAGATAAGCATCGGTCTATATAACTACTCCTGGATTTGGAAAGAGGAGTGGACGTTAGATAAGAATTCAGTAGGGAAAAAAAATCCTAAGGCACTCAGAAACACCTGGACTGAAATTTTTACTGGTGATGGAAGTACCATACAATCTTGAAAATGCAATGTTTCTGTTGCAGCTGTGAGGTTACTGTTCTTTGTTAGTGTTTCACAAGGAACACTACCTGTTGTTCTCTAAGGGTCACAGAACCATAACACCACACATTTCTCCACTGTTGCCCTGCTACTGTGTCAGGGTCAGCAGAGCGAGAAAAACAGATGGCATTAACTACTGTTAGTAATCTACAGGGACAAGTAAACTGAGTTTGGGCATAATAAGACTTCAATTAAGCAAGCCTGTACAGAACTGGTCTAAAACTATGTTGAATGCAGGATTAAGAGAAAAACGTACATCCACCAACTAGATAACAGTATCTGTTTCACGTGATGGAGCTCACTTAAGAATGTATTAAATGCTGGCACTAGACTGCTGTCAGCATCTGATCCATCTGACCTGCTTGAAGATTAATGGCTAAGATGTACGCCACCTTGAAGATCTTCCAATTTAGCAATTAAAATTCTATGTACAACTTTTACTCACATTAGCGTTTAATTGGCTGAGAGCTATGTCAATTCAGTTCACAGAAACACTGAACACAAAATGTGCCTGGAGCCCACACTGCGCTATACCAGCTTTGGCGCAAAAAACCAGACTGTTCTATGGGGATTTTTTGTTGGGTTTTTGTTCTGTTTAAAAAAAAAAAAATCAGAAGACACAGAGAAAGAACAAGCATACAGACATTTAGAGACATAAACCTTTTTATACCTGGTACTACACAAATGAATAAGAAACTTTATGGTATAGAAAGTCATACAGTCAACAGAAAGTTTTCTGTTACAATTGTTGGTAAGACTGTAGCTACCCATTGTTCTAAACAGGTCAATAAAACACTAGGTTGTCAAGTGTTCACGCAGTCATTTGGAAAAATGTCTGCAGAAAAAAGTGGTTAAATAACCAAGAAGCCAAAGCTGTAGATGATTTGTAGGATATGATTACTTGACTGTTTTGAAAATGTTTAAGCTCAGTCAAAGCCGGGCAGAACTAAAGACCTTCTTGGGTTAACACCATGAAGTCCAACATCAACAACAAATAATCTAGCATTAACTCTTACGCAAGCTTGAGAAGCAAGTATTACCACAGAGTATTTGGTTATTGCAGTAAGGATATTCAGAAGAACTCCATCTTCCTTCAGTCATTAAAACAAAAATGCTGCATTTAAAAATGCTTCTGTTTTATAAATAGTTCAGCCTCTTGAGGTCATTCTTTACAGTAGAAATCATCAGAAACTGAACATAAGACCATTTTTCACTTCATGCTAGGCATGAATTCTTCTGTAAAAATACTGAGCCTGCACTTAATAGCAAGATATTACCTCTCAATTAAACATACAAAAGCCCTTAACTTATCTTAAATTTCAATCTCAGTAATTTTTAATGACAGTGTCAAATTAATTAAAAGGGTGTATGCTGAAAATTTTTTTAAGTTGAAGTGGCTGCATAAAAAGTTAATAATTGGAACATGTTGTATATTCCTCAACTGAGAAGTATATATAATTCCTTAAAATACAGAGCTGTAAGAAAAGCTGTGTATTTATTAATCAACCAACACTCCATTTTCTTTCTCTGTTTTATTTTAACTCTGACCTTTCCATTACACAAGCATGTACATCTTACAAACAGAAATCATTCCAGCTAAAAACACTGGCTAAAAAGGTACATAGATTTCCTCAGTTCACCTTGCACTAATGATAAATAACTCAGCTTTTGTACAAGCAAAGAGTTGCAATCCTTGGGCAAGCAAACAACGGAGAAGGTTATAGCTTGACATAAGAAACACTGTCACAGATACTAGGGAACACAAGCAGACAAAATTTATTTAGGCTGTAGCTATATTAGTGGTTGTCTCATCTGGGACCATCCCCTCTATAGATTAAAGGAGAACAGATAACCTGCCATGCCTAACCTGCTGCCTGCTTTGAGCAAAGACTGCCTCCAGCTCTGGGACTTGTTGCAGGAGACTGAAATTGTCCTGCAGAGGGGCTTCAGCCAAACTCCTCAGGTTCCTTCTGGAATGATTTCCCTTCCAAACTGGAAATGGTTAAAAAAAAACCAACAACAAAACACAAACCCCAAAACAAACAAAAAAAAAGCATCTGGTACAAGTAATGTAAATGAAAATCTGCTGCAAAGCAGCATTAGAAATTAAACTGACCACCTCTCTAGCATGGTCTTCCCCATGTCAACTTTCCAAATAGTTAGTATTTTACATCTCGACATTAAACAAGATACATTTGTTTGTCAAACAAATGTATCATCTCCAAATGATGGGCTTGTTACTTCGTTATTACTATATATTTACTATTACTATTATTACTTTTTATTTATGTGACACTGTTGATAAAAATTACTGACAAACAAGAGCTTTCACCTTTTTTTTTTAAAGGGATAATTGGCTAGCATTTCCAGTCTCTAATGCTTCGTTCATGACAATGAAGGTTGCCGGGATAAAAGGTCAAAAACTTTGGCAGTTCTCTCTCCCACCATTTCACATAAAGGACTGGACACAGACTGCAACCACTACCTGAACACCTAGGGGTCTCTTGGCAGATGCTTCAGCCATTTTCTCCCACCCATTTCCAGCTGTTTGCAAAACCCAGCTTCAACCCTCGTTGCTTTACGCTTTCCACTTCTGAACTCATCAAATTGTTTCTTCTAGTAGCCTTTTCCTAGCCGAAGAGAAAAGGGCGTATATCACCAAACACCCACTGGCTTTGCAATGAGAGCTGGTCACCCAGGTATGGGGGAAGGGCCCTATTGCAATCAGAGGTAAAAAAAATGTAACTTCTGTAACTGGTGCTCATGAAGGAAGGGCTACTTCGGTACATAGAAATATATTAGTTGCCTTCTCGCCCAGGAGCTTCATTGCGTGTTTCCAGGGCCACCTGTATCAAGCTTAACCAATCAAGTCCTATGCCTGACCAAATCCTGCTTCACTGAAGAAGCATTAATAATTCACATGCCAAGACAACAGGATGACCTGAAATTTTTCCTTTTCTCAGAATTTCCTCACGCCCTCCGTACCCCAAGAAGAGTCAGCTGGCACGCAGCCACCCTATGCGGCAAGCCTGCCCTATCCTAGGTGAGTCTTCTCATGTCATGTACAGCCACGCCTTTTGTGGTTCTTTGACTCAGAATATCCAAAAGCAATCAGGTAAAACACTTGATCTTCCCCTCATTCCCACTGTAAAAGGCTGAAATTAGAATTTATGTGAAAATTCATAGCTGATGGACCTCAAAGACCCTTGGACTACAAGAAGATATTGAAGGCATGCTGCTATTCTGAAGTGATTCACAATTTATCCTCAACACACATCTTCAACACTAAAAGCAACTTTAACAAAGTCAAAAGGAGTTGTGAACCAAAGCTCAGCAGTGTAAATATTCTTTAATGGGCTCCACACCACTCCCAGCATCACCTCTCAAATTCTGCCCGTCTCAGAAACACAGTGATGTGGAGTCTCCTGCAGGACCTCTGCCTTGTTCTGTCCTTGGAATCACTCCATTTCCCATAGATCAGAAACATTCAACAGATGTGAAGGAAAGCAGTGCAAAACTTAATGAGATGGGCTAATGTTAGCTGGAAAGAACAGAAAGGTGGAAAACCCCTTAAGAATTACAAAGAAAGAGATTTTTAAGAAATTACCCAAACCATACCTGGATATTTTTTTTTGAATCTTCTGAGAAGTCTTTGTTTTCTTTGATTTGTGGTACATCACCACCCTTTTTTGTAAGCTCATCTATCCTTTCTTCACATTGTTCTTTTAATTCTTTCATCTGGTTGATGCACTGTGACCTGGAGAAAACATGAACAAGTGAGCAGTTGTAAACTTTCATCCACACTCTTCTAAAATGTTCTTTTGTAAAATGATGTATTTCTTTTTTTTTTCATTTTATTATTTTCTTAGTTCCATTATCTGTGCTTACATTTAAGAAGTCAGTAGGAAAAAATGGGGTGTTAACCTAAGTCGTAAGGACAAACTCGTGGTGCAGGCAGTCCAAGTTCTATTGGAAGAAATTAATTTAAACTGCTCTTGTTAGACCAGGTCAACAAGCTACATGAATTTTCTTGTCTTTCACTAACCAGTCAATTTCAGTTAAGCCATAATCAATTTTGATCTCTGAAGCATTTCTAGTATGATAACAGAAATTCATATTTGGATATTAGCTAGGAAGAGGAAACAGCAAAGTACTAGTTGAAATAAAAAACAGGTGTAAGCTACTGCTAGCAAACTGAACAGCCTTTCTCAGTATTTCACCAAAGTGCAGTGCTGCAAGACATTACAAAACATATGTTATAGAAATGGAGTTCATCAGTAGCTATTATACGTTCCAAAAGGAATATTTCCTAAAGACGCAAGTGTTGTATATCTTTTATATACTTTTAATAGTTACACAGTGCAATCAGTGCCTTAACCTTCATGACACCAGGGGTCTTCTGTTTGCAGTTCTGTAGCCTGCCTTTCCTTCACAGCTCCATAACCTCTAGGTAAGCCCTAGGCTGTTGTGGCAGTGTTTTTCCTGAACCTGCCAAGGCAACGTTTTCCCCTTTTGTGGCTGTGCTGAGGATCCTGTGCAAACCCCAGGAGGGTTGTGAAGCCGGGTTTCTCATGGGAAGTGACTGCCATCAGGGCAAGATCACCCATTCTCCCCCACTCTCTTCATAACCTGTTTTGTAACTTTGGGTTTATATTAGAGGAAGAACAAGACCTAGGGAGTAACAACACAGATAAGCATTACCCTGTAACACACATGCAGAAGACTTAGAAACCAGTCATCAGATGACCCCAAGTATGATCCCACTGTGAACAGGAACAAGCAATAGTGGGTTTGAGTGGCTCCTGATGAGAAGTACATCATGCTAGAGGAAAACGTGGTGAAAAATCATTGTCAGCAGCCACTGCACTGGAGAGCGTGCCCAAGAAAGAGGGTTGGCTGGGGACCACATTGCTCCTCTTCCCTGCTGGCCCCAGTGGCAACGGAGTTTGTTGGGGTTTTTTTAACCCTTTTTTCCTTTCTCTCTTCCTCTTTTGTTTTTTTCCACTCTAAAGTAACTTTGAGTTCAATGTATACCATCAGCTACAGACCCTGCAAACACATCTTTCTGCATGCAAAACCTCACTCAGCATCCTGGGCACAACAACACAGTCAACACAGCGCAAGTTTTACCTCCCCCTTGCTAAGACAGAAGGGGGATGAAACTCTGAGCCTGGCTCTGTCAGAGTGTTACTATCTCCAGTGTAACAGCCGCTGGTTCAGACAGGCATGTTCCAGTTCCTCAAGCTGCAAATAAGCTACTATCTAATCCAGAGGAATTCTCAGGGCATGTGCCCTCCACAACACCAAGTCACTCGTTTTTATTGCACTTTCATCCCTCTCCACACATACACACCCCTTTTTAAAAGCAAAAAATCTGTTCTGTAGTTCACACCCAGAAAGGAAGAGGAGTGATAGATATGTTATGAACTGTCAAATGAATTACCTTTATGAACTGATAAATTAATTACCTTTATTACCGTTTCTTCTTGACTAGGCATTATTCTAATGTCTGATTTTGCTAATGGTAATACATGGAAGAGTCATCAAACTAAGCAGGGCTTCATAAGTCAGTGAACATCAGAGACAATAAAACAACATAGGCTTGAGTTATGCACACATTCACTAATTTCTAGGAAACAGAAGGACATCAGAATTGTCTGCACCTCAGTTTGCAAGCTTGAGAAAGATGCAGTATACAGACAACCTGAAGTTAGAGATAGAGCAACCTTTCGTAAACGCTCTTTCATCCCGCACTGCACATGAAAATAAAGTTCATTTAACATCTGTGACAAATCCTCATAATTTTTAATTTATTATCTGTGAAGGAATTCCCTTCTTGTAAAAGGGATTTCCGGGGATTTGAATACTCATGCTTCAGAAGTTGTTGTATGCATAAGAACAGCACTAGTTTCTCCCCCTCATCCCATTGACATGACATATTTCAAATGTGCAAAACCAGTACTCTTAAAGTCAGTCTCTGTAGCACGTCTTCTCCCTCACAAGATTAAAGACTTATAATTTTCAATTATACAATAATACTGTCTCATCATTTTTCCACTGGGCAAAGTGTACTTGATACATAAGGTGCAAATCCTTCATCCACACAACTCCAAGTCAAAGGAAGAAACGCTGGCGTAGCACAAAAGCAAGTCTAATGCCCCCTCCTGCCAAGGCCTATTACAGATGAGCAGAGAGGCAACATGTTGGTTTACTCGTAACATTGAGGGGAGGAAGGAAGACAGATTAAAAGTAATATTTTGGAGTCTTTCTAATACTACCTGTTTTTCTAGGCCCATAATCACGCTGGGAAAAGGTTGGTTGTAAGCATTTAAAATGACAGTATTAAGTAAGCATTCAGTAACAGCAAAGAGGACTGTATGTAACAAAGTACAATCAGATATATGTTTCTACAACTACCAGAATGCAATGCAAAGTCAGTAATATAACTTACTATAACTTATAACTTACGACAGTGAAATATTAATGTTCCAACACCCCCCCAAAGATACACAACAAGCAACATTTAAAAATACATTTATTTTCCTGCTAGAATTGTGTGAATGCTACAGGGTGCCGAGGCTATAAAATATTCCATGAAAATTGGAGTGCAAAGTTTGTTTTCCTCACTTGTATAGCTACAAAAAAAATCCAGAAATAGAAAATTAACACTTAAATGTTATTCAGCAAAGCTAGTGAAGAAAGCATAGCTCCTTGACTGAAATAACTGCTTTTACGGACTCCAGTCGAGAGACTGCAGGCAACAGCACACCTGCTTCAGGATCAACTGGAGGCAGACCAGCTACCTGAGTCCCTGTTCAGCTAGCACATGGCTGAATTATCGCACCTGTCTCTACACCTACCCTGACACAAGCAAACCCATCTTCCCCACTGTAACTTGTTTAGCTCTTCACCTTGAGCCAGCCTTGACCCTGGAGCTGTACCCTCCAGAGTCAAGCTGCTTCTGTTACACAAAGAGGGATTCTTTATAGTACACTCCCACAAGCAGGGATGCTCTGTCAGTGATTTCCTCAACAGAGCTGTACTTGAAAACATTTCACCAGACAGGGGCAATAAACCTGTTTTCAGAAACCCAACTCACTACATTTGCCTCATATCGCTTCCCCGCACATGTGTATCAAACCAGTGAGTGCTTCAAGGATGCACCTCTCGTGCAGAGCATGACTGTACAGTACATACATACGCCTACAGATCCATTTATTCTTGCTGATCTCAGCCTTACAAGGAAGATGCTGGCAAACAGATACTCTAACTAGCAAAGAATTATCAACAGAGGTCCAGGAGTCCCAGCTCTGTCATTTCACCTAACAGCAAAGAGATAGTGCTTAACAACCATGGTACACAACACACTTGGAGGGAAAAAGTACCTTAACAGATACTTAAGTGCAACGTGGCTTAATAAAAGGTTGGTACAAACTTAAGTGTCCAACTTCCTTCTACTTTTCTGTTAGAAGTCCTAAATTAATAATACACTAATACAACCCATCTGGTCATCATTATTAAATGAGTAATAATGCCCTAAAAAAAAAAAGAGTACACAACCAACTGGTAATCAGGAAGTATCCCAAAAGCACTAATACTAATCCTTCATTCTTAAGCGGGGGGGGGAAGGTATTTCAAGTTTGGCCTGGACATTTATGAATAATGCTATAGCTATCACAAGAATACTCTGGGTTATAACCAAGTCACCTTCAACTCCAGGAGCCATCTTTTAGAAAGAACATACTTACAGGTCATAGGAGAACTTCCTCTGAAGGTTAGTCTGGTTCTTCTGAAACCTGTAAACATCCAGCTGTAGCTTTCCATATTCTATCTGTAGCTCTTTCAAGTGTTCTGACCAAAACAGCATTAAAATATATATTAAAATACACATACATATATATACCTACCTATATTACAATAGAAGTATCAAACAACAGATTGATAGTAAGCACACTAACTCCATCCCTATGTCATGCTCATTACATTTTGTACACAAATGCACAAATAATTGTTGAATTTATTCATCAAAGATGCACATGATTGGGTAAGAATAGCCTTTCAGCCCAACATACTAACAAAAACAGTGTAACAGATATCTGACTGCCTTTCCCTCAGAAGGAATACTCTAACTTGTTTGCAAACCCTTGCTCTGCTAGGTTTCAGCCCAGGAAATCTTTAGGTCTATGAAATACTAATCAGAACATAGTATGAAATGGCATTCTGTTTATTAGCCATCTAAAGATAAGCTTACAATGCTTCCCTGAATAATATGCAATTTACAGTTATGTTCCTCAAAAATAGGGGCATCTATGATTTAGAATTTTCTTCCTCATAGAAAGCTCTGTGTGAGGGCACCAGAAGAAGGCACCACAACATATTTACCTGTTTATAGAACTTAGGATCCATTCCCCAGACCTCCTGAGGAATAAATTGCTAACAACAATTTTGAAGCACCAACATGAACAGAAATTAATTAGACCAAGTTTTCTTATTTAATATAGGAGTTTGTGAGTTCCCCTGGTGTTAAAATGCACAACCCAAACACCTCAGGGAGGAATGAAAGAATACACTGCACAAGGTAGAATGAAGAATAAATATATTAACAGTACACACAGAAGCTAGTTTTATTCTATATTATTTTATATCATAAGGGTCAGAAGTCCTATATCAAACACTACACGGACAAATCCTTCTACCATTGAGGCAGATTAGTCTGACACTTCACTGAACTGAAACTATGCAGATGCATGGTCTAAGTCACGACAGCTCCTGCACCGTCCCTGTGACACAAATGAAGAAAGGCAGCATTCTCAGAAGACACCAGAAAAATGAAAGTCTTAAAAAGAGGGGGCTTAAAAAGCAATAGGAGAGAGATGGGTAGGGGTATTATGACATACCTCGTAGACTCTGGATCAATCGTTCGTTTACTGTGATGTTACTCATCAGCACTGCCTGAAAGGACCAAAACAGAAAACCATGTTTTAATTGCAAAGGACCTGTGTTACCATTAATATTATAAACACCACCAGCCAAAGCACTTGTAACGAGATCTGTTCTTTGCGAAGTGCTGGGTTACAGTCAAACACAAAAAATTTTAGCTGCTCTGCAGATTTACTATTGCAAACAACAAACACTCGCTTTAACCCAGGCTTCTCAGTAAATGAGGTGGGGAGTGGGTAAGAGATCACTGCACTTAAATAAAAAGGAGCAGAATTTAAAGAATCTGCAACTAAAATTGCTTGCTGCATTATTCTGGTTTAATCTTACGATTGTAGTCACAGTCAGATTTACTGTATTTATCCCTTGAAGGAAGAATACAGCATAGCACAGCTTGCTACCAACTACCCTCTCACCAGGGAATCAATACACCTCCATCCAGGCATGCAAGGATGAGCTATCAAAGCATTAGTCAGAGCATAAAGGAACTGTATGAAAGCAACGTGAAGCCCTTGCATTGCACCACTTTTCTTACTATCCTCTCCCTCACTTTGGTAAGAAAGTGCTGGAGTGACCTTCTTCCATTCCCTCACTTTGCTCTCTCTCATTCTGAAGAGGCAGTCAACATAGGAACACGTTTTGTCCGTTCTTTCATCAATCCTCCTCTACCAACCCATACATACACATGCCCCAAAATACCTGAATACTGACAGAACTAAGGCGAGTCTAAATGAAATTAATTGCTGTGAGCCAGATGTCAGGACAACTCAGATTAATATCTAACATTTATGAAGTCTGGTGCAGAAGAGTCTTCTTAAGACTACAAAAAAAATGAGATCCACTGACCCTTTAGAAACAATCCAGTCCAGTCTTAGGAGCATATTTCTTATGCTTCACTGCCAATTTCCTCGTTATCATTCTCCTAGGAAGCCCCAGTGTTCTGCAGGGGTCCCAGAACAGGATACATCAAGTCCCCAGTTTCCCGAAGTTTCTGCTGAAGTACTGATGTATGTCCACAGCACTTTAATGCAAAGAAATACCTGCATCCATTCTGCCTGCCCAAGTCACCCTGAAACACTGACAACGCTGTCAGTGCCTTTTTTTCACAAAGACTACAGTAATAAGTGCCAGTTGATTAGGAAAAGTGAAGCATTGAATCAATCTGAGTGGGACAGCACATAGCAGGGGGGTAGATTTGTCTTTTGTTGACCCTTTAAAGAGTCCCAGTTCGAAGAGGCGGTCATTCACGTGTTGATGAAGAGGCAGCCATTTTCCACTCAATAAAAGAAATATTCCTACACCATTCTATACATACAGCCAGTCTGTGAACACCACTGTGAAACCGTAAGAGCAAAGGCCTTGCTCCTTTGTGAAAAAGAAAAAAAAAAAAAAACACCACCACCATGAATAACAAAAAAAAAAAAAAAAAAAAAAAAAAAAAAAAAAAAAAAAAGACTGCAGAATAACAGACTGTGGCAATGCAGAATAATGTTAATTGTCACTTTAAATCATCAGCAGCCCAACCACATCTGCTATCACACCTGTGCTCTCTTCTCTGATCTACTCTGGCACCCTAGAAATATTAGGCAAACAGCCAGCCTCGTACCTGCAGCTCTCTGTGGTCTGGCTCTGCTACCAGCTTGCATCCCTCTTACCTGGAATGGATCAGGCACTGACCCTGCACCCTCAAACTGTTTCTGATTGATAGGGGACACTGCTGGTGCTGGGCTTGTCACCCTGTAACAACAGGTCCCGGGGCCACTGGGACTCACTGACCCCATTTGGATTTTACAAACCTCATCACTCAGGTGAGATAGCTAAAGGAGCCCTGCTTACATCTGAAATCTGATCCACATAAAAATAGTGATAAAATAATAAACTGATTTTTTTTTTTTCCCCACTTAATCTAAGGACATTGCATTGGTCTTTGTGGATTGCATATAAAACTTCCTTTTGGCAACGCTACACCTACAGCCCTGAATTTGTGGGTAAGAGTCCAGGAAAAAAATGACGAAAATCTAGTTAGCTGTTTAACTTGAGCAGGAAATACTGTTTAATAATTTACAGGGCAGTGCTTCAACTGCCAACTTCCAATCCGACTGCATCAGTAATGTCAGGCTTTCTGTTCCTCCTCCTGTCATCCAAGCGTTAACTAATCTTCACCTCATGGTTGTGAATTAGGCAGCCATCATTTTTTGGTGGGGGGGTTATGCAGGTCAAGAAAGCAAACTGCTGGGAAGCACCCAGCCAACACATGCCAAAAATCAGTTCTAGGAAGAAACTCACATTTTAAATCTCATTCAGCCCACAAAAGAATAGCTATGATCCCTAGGAGTGAGAATCCAGCTTTTGGAAACTTACTGTATCACCATATCAAAATCTGATTTTCTGTGACAGAGTAAATGTAACATAAAATCAACTCATTGTATTTGCAAACATGTCTTGCACAGAAGTCCTTGTGACTATCACAGAGGAAAAGTCAGACTCCTGACTGGAGCCAGTGCTGCGGACAGCAGGTCTTCAGAAACCAAAAATCAAAAGCTACACTGCCACCAGCAGTGATGGAAAAACCTTGCTCCAGCTGGACAGAAATTTTTTTAATGACAACTGCCAAAGATATATTTATTTTTTTATTCACCACAGAAAATGTCTACATAAGCCATCCTCCACTTAAGAAACACAAAAGTTAAAGTTATTGTTTAAAAAACCCAATACGTAATGCAGAAATACGTGCAAGGAAGCACTGAGATAAATTACTTCAAAGCATATGTTACGAGCACATACTCTGAATTATGTGCATGCATTTGATTCAATTAATGCCTTACAGAGTAGTCTCCATAAACATACTCCTTGGAGGCATTACTACAATAACTCCTTTATCACTTGCTACTGTCATAAATCAAGCTAACCCAAGCACAATGAACTGACATATGTGCTAACACTGACCGTACATGGTGTATATAAAAGCATAATGAGATATTGCAACAGGAAAAAGGAATAAAACGGCAAAAGAACTTGATGAGAGTAAACGCTGGTTTCAGAACTAAAACCTAAGAAAAAAGGGGCTTTGCATTCACAAGCATAGCTCTCACAAGGAGAAAAAAAAAAATGAGCTACAGCACCAGTAAATCAGCTGGTAAGAACAAAACGAGCTGGGAACAAAGCAAGGTGGGAGGGTAAGATTTATACATGCAAAAAACAGCAGAAACAAGCATGTATAATTAATCAGGGAGAAGAAGGGCACCTATTTCATGATTAACTCAAACTGATCCAAGTCCTTACCACAAAGAAAAGGAGCAGTTCTGCCTTGCACGCTCCTACTGCTCCCCACCACCATGCTGGCAGCACAGCACAAGCCGTATTTTGATCAGCTGTTGTTCATGTCTTAACCATATTTGGAAATTCTCACCCCCCTTCCCTATTTTTGCAAATACACCTCCCCACATACACTCTCTCCTAGTAACATGCCATCATCAATTCTTTTCTTTCTTGGTACTCTTCTTCACCACTTTGAAATAATCTTCAGGAGTAAAAAACCCATTTCTACTAGCCACAAAAAGGCTTTTTCATTCTAGGACATGAGATTAATGGCTAACTACATATTAGTAAGTGGGGGAAAAGTTCATAAATAAGATCCCTAAGAAAGTATTTATCTTCTGGGTTGGTCTGTGTGCTGCACACTCATGTATACTTCAGTGGAGGAGCACCAATTGAAGCAAGTCTAAAACAAATGTCAAGCTCAAAATGGAGGACACGCTTTCATTTAAACCTATGTCTCACTGAACTGAATTCCATTCAGAAATTACAGACTTTTTCCCATCCTCAATAAAAGGAAAAAACCCCCAACCAATCAAGTGAAAAAAACAAACCAAACCAAACCAAAACCAAAAACCAGCTCTATTCCCAAAGAGTGATCCTGGTAAAGATCAGGGAGTCAATCTTGTTTCACGTCCTCTGCTAAAAGCAATCTAGACTCTCTTTTTTTGTGCTGAAGGACACATGCACCATGACATCGTGCAGTTCAGCCCTCAAAACTGCAGAAGCCATCAAAATTGTGAAGTTAACGATTTCTTACACTCTCAGCAGAAGAGAGAGGAAGTTGACACGTATGAATAAGAAATTACTTTTACAGCTGCAGGGCAACAGCAAGTCAATTGGAGAAAATAAGCCCTGTGCAGCTACAGGACTTTCATGACATTGTTATATTTAATTAAAACCCAAACAGTAGGCAGTATAAACAAAACAGAATCCTATTATGTGAGAATCTTAATACAAAACCTGTACAGGTATATAGAATGTACTTTCCGCTTTCTTTTTTGTCCGTTCATTTTCTAGTAGTTAACTCTTAAGCTACACATACTCTAAATTTCCACTCTTTGGGTGCCTACAGTTCAGCTAGTCCCAGACCATCCATTTTTTTCTCCACCATGTAAAAATATATTTTAAACAGAGATAGTCTTCTAGACCTCTGCTGTACCAGTTACGAGCAAGCAGACTGATTTCTCTTGCTAATTTAGCAACATCACACTATGGCAAGTAAGAGTGGGGCATGAGGCAGTGCCTGCTTTTCCTTAAAGCCTTTTCAAAACTAGAAGATGCAACATTGCGTGGTTTAAAAAACAAAAGCAAAACACACATAGGCACCTTTTCTTTTTCCCAGCAGGCTTTCTTCTCTCTCCTCCCCCCACCGGCTGTCATTCCTTTTGAGCAGAGCCGACTCTCCGCATACGGATAGGTATTTTGTCTCAGAAGGCTGTGCTGGGAATTGAAATTCTCCCTGAGGGAGGGGATCCGAGAGCAGCTGTGGCCAGCGTTAAAAGACACTAAGCAACACGACAGTGACGTGCTTCACATATAATGTTCAAAGCTTGGCCCCTCTCCTCAGTAAAACAAGATGCGGGCTGGGGAAGAATTACATAAATCCAAAGAAAATGACAAACGGCAAAAGCATGTAGCAGTTAAAAATACGAGAGATTACACTTATTGTTCTCCTGTTACACTCTTCAAAAAGACTATCGTGGCTGTGCACAACCCAGAAGCTACGAGTCCTGAATAACAACCATACAGAATATTGTTGTTTAGAAAATTGCTTATGGATTAGAAACGGCCCTTTCGCGCTCCTGATTCCTCATCTGTTGTTACTTAGAATTTGTGTAAGCTCTCTTGATCTCTTCAGTCTATTTCTGTGTGGATATCCAGAAGCCATTTGCTAAATCTACATTAATCCTTAAAAATTCAAGCAGATTTTTTAAAAGCAGACTGGTGATAGAAGTGTTTTATACATACACAGACCTAAGAGAATAATTATGACAGCAATTTCCCAGGATTACATTGCTTCAGTGAATGGTGACCCCATGGGGTATTTCAGGCTCTGACTACCTCCTACCTTCTGTGCCCTTGTCCTTGAAGTAGCACAGACACAGTTCTAATAGAAAACAAGGCAGATTTAACTCAAAGTGGTTACCGCACTGCCACCAACAATGACTTTAACATGGCAAGTATCTTATTGGTGTATGAGTTTGGTATGAAACTAAATCAGTGGCATAATTATTCTGTATTTTATCATCAGAATAATAAGACACAGTGAGCAGAGATGAACTGCAATTAAGATGGGTCTCGAATGTTACTTGAGAGCTGCTTTTTGTAAGGAGTCGAGATTGTGAAAGTTTGCTCCCATATAGATTTCTTCTATAACCAGAAGAACCATATTTCTCCCTGAAAAAAGAGGAGGTTTTGAGACAGACCATTCACTCCTATACATCAGCTGAAAGCATTTTCATTTTCCTTTAAGAACAACAACAAGAACTAAACAAAACCCCATTTATCACTCAAAGATCTGTCTAGTTATTTAGACAGTTTGTATTACTTTTAGAGCCAATTGAGAGACTTGGGGTTTGGATTTGCATTCATCCTTCCTGGACCAGCTAAATATTTGCTGTTAATCCCCACGGGGTAAATAAAGTTCAGTTCAAGGACCAAGTTTCCTGTAACCAGAAAGGATGAATTCATTACTTGCCTCCCAAGAATCCTGGATACCAATCCATGGAGCCAAGAAACAAGGATACGTGTGTGGCTGTGTGTGTATACAAATACGTACGTATGCACATGTGAATATACAACACACGCTTCAACATGGATATACATACACACACCAGAAGAAAAGCACTCCGAAACAGTCTTTTCTTATATTGCACATCCCGTTGTTAAATAACCTCTGATCTTGGACAGCTTCTTCAGATCAAGGTCCTTAGTGAGAGGAATTAAGCTTTCCCTCTCTCCCCTGGCACCGTATCAGGGGCATTCCTAAATTAGAGTGGATGAACCCATGCCAACGTGGCTGATGGCATCTTTCAACAAACACACAGGTTCCCAGTAAAACAACTCTCCCTACTCATAAATCACAGAGTTGGAAAACAAACAGCATCTCTGCAGGATATTTGCTCGCGTGTCGCAACAAGAGCAAATTTTGACTTTGCCACAAGTTGTGCGCAGGCACATACACACTCATCCTACCACCTCAGGCACCTGAGACATGCTCTTCTCCACTCACCAAAAGCAGAAGACAGCAAGTGAGTCCATTGCACCACTTCTATCTAATGCTTCCTATGGCATCAGCTCCTGGGGTTTCAATAGCAAGCTTCATAGACTATTCCATGACTGAACAACTACATTTTAGGATGATGGAGGGAAAAGCACTTAAGAGGAAGTAACAGCTATACTAGATCAGCCCCAAAATCCACCTTGCCCACCATCCTGTCTCTAACACTGAATGCCAAATGAACACCAAAGCAGCCATAAAAAGCACAGTATTTTCCAAGCAGCAGCTACTTCTGCCTGAGGAACGTTTGGAGTCAAAATGAACACCTTTGTATTGGGTGGCGGGGCAGGTGTTTGTCCAAGGTTGTTCAGTTTCTTTTTAACCCACACAGACCCACTGAAACTGGCATTATGGATGTCACACACTTGCAGCTTCACAATCTACTGTGTGAAGAGCACTTCTTCTGCTTAGTCTGAACCAGAAGTCGCTGACTGCATTTGACGCCTGTCAGTGGATGGAGAACGGCCATGCCTTGTCTCTCCCACCCATGAGCACTCTCTGCACCATTCTGGATCCTAGAGATGCCCACGATGGCTCTTGTCAGCTGGCTGTTGTCCAGCCTGTAACCTACACTGTGGATTCCCATAGATAAACTACTGCACAGCTTTGGTTATCCTCCTCGTTCTCCCCTCCGTGCCTTTCCCAGCACTCCAAAACTCCACCGGTGACCTCCCCACAGTACAACAACTAACCCAGTTTATTTCTAAGCTGCTTTGTAACTTCTGCCTTATCATTCATCCCTGTGATAGCACCATCTTACCACGTGGCTGCGTGATTTCTCTACAAGCCATGCATGCGTAGCCTTTTGCAATTCCAGGTGTGAATGCATTCATTAGTCTCCCTCATCCTTGTCACTGACTCTTTCAGAAGGGAACTCCAAGAGACTTCAGAAACAAGATTTCCTTTTCTGGAAGCCGCTTTGACTCTTCCCCAGACTACGACATTCACCCCCACGTCCCACAGCTGTTCTGTTTTTGTACAATACTTCCCACCACTTTTCCTGGCACAGATGCCAGATTTAACAGACGACAGCTCCTACATGTCCTCTGGACTCAAGACCACCACCACCACAAGAAAGGTGTGGTGCCAGCTACATTTGTCTGGTACCACAGTAATTTGAAGCAGAAAGGTTGTACACCGTGCTTGGCAGAAGCAACATTTCATCCACCGAGCTTCCTGTCACCAGCTCTCGACATCCACCCATCTGGCCAGCCTGTGCTGTAAACTCTGTGGCCAGCACTTCTAGTTCCAGTGACTTTCAGTAATTCTGGCTAAAGGAAAATCTGTTTATGAAAAGGAAGCATAAAACGTATTTCCCTTGTAAAAAAGACTGTAGAGTAAATTAAGCAAATACCCAGTTCTGTTTGCCCTTTTCTTACCTTTTTTTTTTTTTTTTTTTTACCTAATCCTTTGTTTTTCACTCCTTGCAGGAA